ACACCTTATGTGAGTGCTTAAACCGCTGTGTTCTTCCACGCTCCAAGAGTGTACCATTACTACCCTAGTCTAGCCAAGCTGACATGAAAACTCACCACCCTACAGAGGGCAAAGGACAGAAGAGCCTGGTGTGGGATTTGGTCTGCAGTCTGTGCTGTTTCTATTCCAAGGCAGTAGTCAATCCTGTAGAAACGGGAATAGCAATGCCCTAGTGTGACTCACCATCTCGAATAGAATTTGACCGGTTGCCTGAGACTTAGCAGCTATTTGAGCGCTGGTTGGAACTGGTTTCAGACATCTCTGCCTGGTGATTTCATAATTTGACAAGTGGCAGAATTGAAGACTCAGAATTTATTTGTGGTGTTTAAATCTTAACCTGGATCTAAAAGACAGGCATATGGGTAAGTCATGGTATTATTTGGGGGTGACAGCAACAAGCAATCTTAGAGGCTTGGACCGACAAGGGCTTGTTTCTCATTTGTATTATATGATGGTGACTGTGGCTCTGGTACCTATGACCTCTCATTTAGGACCCGAATTGAAAGGGAAGTCCCAGTCAGAACTTGGTGTTCCCAAGGCAAACGGAAATGGCAAGACACAAACAGGAAGGAACCTGGAACGGCGTTTGGAGCTTCTGCCCAGAACTAGCCTGGTCACTTCTACCCATACTTTCTAGGCCACCCTGCATTGCATGGGTGGAAAAGGTGTGCTGTGAGGCCCTATGAGTCTCATGGATGCCTGAGATTATCCATTCACTTTCAGGAAGAGGGTGCTGAGACATGGTGCTTCAAACAGTCTCTCTGGTCTGTCTCCCTCACTCTCCCTTCCTGCCCTCCCCTCCCTTCCTCCCTCCCTCTTTCTCTCCCTCCCTCCCTCTTTCTCTCCCTCTCTTCCTCCCTCTCTTTCTTCCCTTTGGTCATTTTAAAAAGTTTTTCTTTTCTTTTCTTTCCTTTTTCTCCTTTCTTAAAGAATGGGCTGGAGAGACGGCTTAGAGGTTCAGAGCCTGGGTTGCTCTTCCAGAGGTCCTGAGTTCAATTCCCAGCAACCACATGGTGGCTCACAACCATCTACAATGAGATCTGATGTCCTCTTCTGGTGGGCAGGTATATATGCAGATAAAGCACTGTATACATAATAAATAAGTAAATCTTATAAAACTTTTTAAAGATTTTAATATAATTATATAATTCCCCACCTTCTCTTTCCTCTCTCCAAACCTTCCCATGTATCATGGCCCCACTTTGCTTTCTTTCAAATTCATGATCTCTTTTTCTTTAATTGTTGTTGCTATTGTTGTGTGTATGTGTATAGATATGTTTCCAAACATGTAATACAATCCGCTCAGTCTGTATACTGTTACTTGTATGTTTATGTTTTCAGGACTGACCATTCGGGTCTTTCCAAGGAAGAATCTTAAGTAACCCAGGATGGCCTGGAACTTACTATGCAGCCTAGGATGGCCTCAAATTCAGTCCTTTTGCATTGGGGTTCCAGACATGCTCTACCCTGCCCTGCAAATTTCCTTATCAAAGTGACAACTGATCTTACAAGATACATTATTCCGTAAGTGTGACAGACAGCAGAGATAATTATGTCGCACCTAAGAGTCCATGGGGAGTAGTGACCCCCAGGTGGTCTGGAGAAAAGGTCAGCCCTGGGGTGTAAAAGGGAGCAGCGGGCCGCTTCCCACCACCTGCCCGGGTAGCTTTACCGGAAATAATTACCTGGAAACTGTATTTATTTAAACACTGTCTGGCCCCTTATCTGTAGCCTCTTATTGGCTAACTCTCACATCTTGATTAACCCATTTTTATTAATGGCTTAATGGTAAGCCATGAGGTGGTGGCTTACCGGGAAGGATCTTAACCTGTATCCATCTTGGAGAGGAGAGCTATGGCGTCTGCCTCACTGCCTTTTTCCTCCCAGCATTCTGTTCTGTCTACTCCACCTATCTAAGCTGCTGTCCTATCAAAACCCAAGGCAGTTTCTTTATTAACCAAGGAAAGTAACACATAGACAGTTAACCCTCCTCCATCACTGGGGGAGAGCCCTTCTCTCCCTTGACACTCCTGGAGGGAGGCTGCTAGGATTCACACACACTATACACACACACACACACACACACACACACACACACACACACACATTCACTCCTCCAGCACAGGCTGGGAGACAGTCACATCACCACTTGCCCTGGGTCATGGGTTCAGTCTGTCTGGGACTTTGACGGTAATCAACATTTTCCGTGTATATGCTGCTCCTTCACCCAATAAACAAACTTAGGGATCTGAGAGGGTGGACTGTGAGTGGTGTCTGAAGACAGTGGAAGTACTTGGCTCCCAGCTGTGGTGAACATCTGGATCCAGGGAGATGTGCGGGCAGAGGGCAAGCATACCCTTCTGAAGACCCAGGGTACCACTTCTCTCTCCATCTCTCTCTGCTCCCCTGTTTGATGTTCAGCAAAAGAGTTAGATTGTTAAACTAGTAGAATTTCAGGTAAAAATAAAAATGGAGTCATGTGGGTTTGGGAATTATGTGTGGGGCCTTGGGTGCCATCCCAGCACTGGGAAGAAAAAGAAAATTCTACAACAAAAGGTATGGTCTGGATTGTGAATTCATGTGTCGGTAGTTCATAAAATCAGGAAATACCAGATAGATTCGTGACCAGCCCAAGGCCACAGGGAGAGCTACCGCACCTTTGCCCGCTTTCTCAGGGCCTGTGGTGCTGGTAAGGCACCCTCCTCCTGAGTCCCCACATCCTTCTGTTCCTCTGAGAGAAAGGTCTTTAGATTTGGGCTTTCTTTGGGTCCTTAGGGGAGAGGACCTTGAAGCTGCTCTTGATTTGTGTCTCCAGCTCCTCACAGTTCTGCCAACTCCACCTAAAAGCGACTCTCTTGGATATCACTTGCAGGATCGCTTATCTCCCACCTACAGGTCATACAGCCCTGGGACCCAAAGGCCTGGCATCGCCGGAGAGGGCAGGTCTCCTGAAATTGTACCTGCTTGTTCTCTAATCCAGAAGTTTCTAACCGCTGTGAATTTAGTTCGAGCTACACTGAAGACACTTGGTTTCCATCTGGGGGATGCATCTGGATGAGAAGCAACAAAATAAAGAAAACCCAACATGTTCTTCTAAAATAAATTATTACATTTTGTGTGTGTGTGTGTGCGTGCGCGTGTTGTGTGCATATGATGCATGTGTGATATGTGTGTGTCTGATGTGTGTATATGTGGTGGTGGTGGGTGTCTGTGTATGTGTGTGGTGTGCATGTGTATGCAGTGGTGGTAGTATGTGTGTGTCTGTGTGTGCGCACGAACATGCATATACATATCAGGTCCAAAGGAACTGCCAATACGGAGGTTAGAGGACAACTTTCAGAATTCAGTTCTTTCTTTCCACCACATGGGACCCTGGAATTGAACTGAAGTCATGAGGCTTGGCAGCAAGCATCTTAACCTGCTGAGGCATCTTGCTAGCCCAACAGGTTTTGGGAATAGGGACAAAGCTACACTTTATAGGACCCTTACTAACCTGCCAAACTCCCCCTTCCCCTGTTTTTTCAGTCCAGTCTGGTCTTGAATTTGATAGTAACTGAGGATGACTTTGAACTTCTGATCCTCCTGCCTCTTGAGCACTGTGATTGTAGGTACTTGCTCTGCTTTATGTAGTATTGGGGTTTGAGCTTCTGGTCTTGTGTGTACTAGGCAGACACTCTGCCAAAAGGTCTCCATCTCTAGCTAAGAGCTCCTAATAAAGTCATCTACAGGGGTGGGAGCTTTGGGAAACACACTGGAGGGGTTGGGGTATAACCCAGTGGTAAGGGGTATGCTTCACTTGCAGAGAGTCATGGGCCTGATCCCTACTGCTAAATAAAACAGGAAAAGAAAGAGTAAGGGCAAGAGAAGGGACAGGGGAACAGAAAGGAAAGGAAAAGAGAGGACACGCTGAAGCACAGCTAAAGCAGAGAGGCCCAATAACTTGTCTTGGATCTCATAACTAGGAAGCTTTAAGGTTGGTGAATCCTATGGCTCACAGCTCAGAGCCTCTAGCAAGGATATCACTGCAAACACTTGTCCTTGCTGGGTGTTGTTTGGAGTGTTAGGGCGGCCTTTGCTCATTTGCTTCCCAGGCTTCTTGCATGTGGGGACATGCCCAAAGGACTTGAACCATTTACCTAGCATCCGAATGCTCGTGACAATGTCACTGGCATTCAATGTCCAGGTGACTCTCAAACTTCTCCTCTCCCAAGTCTTTGGTTTTGTTTGTTTGTTTGTACCATATAGCTCTGGTTGGCCTCGGACTCCTATGTAAACCCAGGCTGGTCTTGAACTCACAGAGATCCATCTGCCTCTGCCTCCCAAGTGCTGGGGTTATTAAAGGTGTGGGCAACAGGCCCCGCTGACTCCCATATTCTTTTTTTTTTTTACTTTTTTAAGGTTTATGCATATGAATGCTCTATCTACATTATTCCAGCAACAGAAGAGGGCATCACATCCCTACTACAGCCATGTAGTTGCCGGGAATTGAACTCAGAACCTCTGGAAGAGAAGCCTGTGCTCTTAAACCACTGAGCCATCTCTCCAGCCTCTGCTTCCCATACTCTTAAATGTTGATCTTTGCTGAGGTCAAAGAGTTTATTTTGCTAAGCATTTTTGTGTCCAACTTAGGAAACTACCTTAAACCCAAAGCAAAACAGAAGTGACGCCCTGTCTCCTGTGTTGTTCCAGCTTTACAGGTTACCAGGAGAGATGCACGCAGGAAAGGGAAGAACGGGGAAGTTCGGGCTTTGGTCAGCAGAATCTCCCAGACATTTTTCAAGTGCAGAACACATTAGTCTTCTTTGAAGCAGTTTTATGAGAGGGGAAATCCGAGGCCTTTCTTGGGAACGTAAATCCTGTTTCCTGAGAGGACTCTGCTGCTCCCTCTCTGTGCAAGCAGACAGCTTAGCTACCTTCTGACCGTTCTTGTCCTAGGGGTGGGTGCGGCAGGAAGTCAGGACAGCATGGGGGGGGGGCTGAGGTCTGAGGGAAAGAACGCAGGGACGTGGACATGCCTATACAGCTCCAGGCACGGTGCAGACAGGCACCGGGCAAAATTCTCTGAGATTCCGCTGGGAGAAGCAGACTTCATTGGGCAAAAGGCACTGAGTGTATACTGCGTTGCCAGTCCACTGCAGAAGGCAGGTGAGGTGTGCCAAGTCAGGCCGGGACTTGAAATTCCTCAGGCGGAAGAGAGCGTCCCTCCTAATTTGTTGCGTACTTCTCCATCTCTCAAATACTTTCTCATGCTTCTCTCTCATTTGGTTGGCACCTCGGGCCTTACAGGCACCCACCACTTGACAATGCTGTTTACAGAACTCGACAAGGTCCCAGATCAGGATCACAGCGGGGAGGGCTTGGCGCCGTCTCAGAGAGAATAGGGTGGGTGCGGTCTTTACTGGTTCTGTGTAGTTTTGAGATCAGATCTCTCTTTGTAGCCCGGACTAGCCTTGAATTTTCCACCCTTCTGCCTCAGCCTCCTAAGCACTAGAATTATGTATGACAAATTAATCCTCCCAGTGAGATTTTACTCCAAGCACACAGGAAATAATAAATAATAAGGAAATAATTCTTTAATAATAGTGCATGACTGGTTCCGGCTAATACCCAAAGAAAAACTGGCCCTCAACAGAAATCCCTTACAGCTTCGATAAACGAGTTGCCTTTGGGCTCATGACCCCATACTTTGGGTAATTAAACACTTTACACTGTGGGCAATTATACCTTGGGCAATTAAACGCGTTTTTTATGGAGTCAGGAAATTGCAAGTTTGGACTCTTGGGACATATGAGAGATTTAAGTAAGATACGGTCACAGTTATCTGAAGCAAGCTTTTTTGTTTTAGGACAGCCACTAACCAAGGTCATTCTGCTTGCCTGGCACACAGTTTCTAGTAAGAGACACAGGACTTAATGAGAAGCCAGCACCATCTCTGGACCGCCCAGTGGAGGCAGAGGTCCTTTGGGTAAGTTTTACTTATGTGTCACTTAATATAAGTGAGTTTATTGGCGAGTCCTTTATATATCAATTTGACTCCTGTCTCCCCCTTTGGTGACAGGTGGGTGCTACTGAGGAACCAGTCTGACTCCATTTTGAGTGAAAGTTGAGTTGCTTTCTGTTTCCTAGAATCTTCCCATGACTTTGATTTTTTTGAGAATATCCTGACCTCTCCCTAATCACACTGGATCAGTGGATGACCAGAAGATGTTTTTTAAAGTTTTTTTTTTTATTTCCTTATTGCCCCATTGTCTCCCTTCTTGAAAACTACTCCTGATTTTACGACTTAGAAAGGGGCCAAGAGGTGGGTTCCAGGCTGCTCTCTTTACCCCGACTTAGGAGGTGGTTGCTGGCTAGCTCTTGGGCGCCCCAATAAAGATCAAGCTTCAAATCTGGCTCAAATTGTGTTAGTGGTCTTTTTCTCCCATTGGGATTAATACTAACACACTCCGTAAACCTTTACTTTGGAGGGAGAGACGCTGATCGTGAAGATCAAGGTCAAAACTGTGTTGTGTGTTGGGTGGGGGCAAATCAGTAGGAGAGGTGGGCACAGTCAGGTTTGAGATAGCCCTTGGATTGCTGCCTTATTTAAGATCTGGGTTAGAAAACCGTGGGCAGCATTCCTGAGCCAGAGGGGAGGCAACCGATAGTTCCCCCAACTGCCAAGAAGATGGCTGAGGCTCCCTGAGCCCATCCTTCTGATCCCACCAGGGCTTGTCCTGTCCTTGGTCTGAGCTGTGTCTTCACTGGGGCAAGTGCCCCAGCCTCTAGGCTGACTCAGACATCCCTTCTCTGGGTCTCCTCCTCCCACACACCCTCAGCTGTGGTTCCTCTGATTGCTGTTTACCTCTGGTTTTATTTACAGTTCTTGAACGTCCTCATTATTGTCTTGAGTGATTACCAGGATTTCACTGTGAATGAAATTTGGCTTCATTGTTTCCTGCCTTTTTCTTTTCTTCCTACCTTTCTCATCTCTCCACCTCCCCTCAATGGGATGGCAGAAATGAAGATGTTCTAAAGAGATACTTGTGTCTCCCATTATGACTGTCAAACTTTGAAAACCAGGGACCCCAAAGAAATAGGAAATTCCCCAGAAATCTTACGTTGCATGGGAGAAGGAAAAGGCACCAGCCAGAGGGAGAACTTGTCTCCCAGAAAGAGATTCTATGAATTCTAACCTCTTGTCAGACAGAGTCCCTTACAGGATGTGACTGAAGCCCAGACAAGGATGGGTCAATGGTGGGTGGGACCGTGTGTGTGTGTGTGTGTGTGTGTGTGTGTGTGTGTGTGTGTGTGTG